CATAGGTCAGCCTATTAGGGGGTTGAACTCTCCTCTTCCCCCTTCCTTCCTCCTCAGCTGCAGGGACTTGAAGGCCTTGGCGTTGCTGCGGTGTGGCTCGAATCCGTGGAGCACTCGTAGTACGGGAAGGGAGTGACGGTGCACGCTCGCTCACTTGCTGCACCTCCTCCTCTTCTTCCTCTGCATCATTGGCCTCCTCTCCCCCATTCACAAGGGAGGATTGCCTTGTGGTTGTGCTGCCGCTGCTCAGCTCCAAAGGCAGCTCCACATGCTCCAAACCGGAACTCTTCACCTCCCCAAACCGCACGCCTATCTTCGCCTCATTCTCCGCCTTCCAATCCTTGTACATGAAGTTCTCCATGAACTTGCAGTCCCTGCTCACCAAGAACTTCTTGGTGAATGGGTCCCAAAGAAGCCATCCCTTGCTGTTTTGAGCCATGCCCAAGTGCACGGCCCACACCGCCTTGGCACCAAGCTTGTTGTGCCGAAGATGCTTAGGCACGAGCGCCATGCACATGCACCCGAACACCCGAAGCATATCCACCTTTGGCTTCCTTCCTAGCCACTCCACATAGGGCACCCATTTGTCTGCTCCCACATGAGTCAAGGCTCTGTTCTTGGCCACACACGCGCTCCGCACCGCATCAAGCCAGAAATAGTCGGGTAGCCCGGCTTCAATGAGCAACCCGCGTGCCGCCTCCGTGATTGTGCGGTTCGCTCGCTCGGCGATGCCGTTCATTGCAGGGGAGTATGGCATGGTGAGGGAGTGCCGAATACCATTCTTCTTCAGCCACAACCCAAACTCCTTGCTCAGGAACTCTCCCCCTCGATCGGTGCGGATTGACTTGACTAGACGGTCTTGTTGCCGCTCCACCATCGGGAACCAATCCGTCTTCAACGTTTCAGCCACGTCGCTCTTCTTGGCCAGCACGTACACCCAAGTCATGCGGGTGTAGACGTCGACAATGGTGAGAAAATACTCAGCTCCAGCAGCTCCAAGCTTCAGGGGGCCCACCACGTCCATCACCACCTCATCAAGCGGTGCCTTTGCCGTTGCCTCCGAACTAGGGAACGGAAACCGGGTGAACTTGGCTTGAATGCACGTCGGGCAGCCAAGCACCTCATCGGGCTCCCCCTTCACACGTATGCCAGCAACCATCTCATTCTTCACTAGCTGCTGCAAGATGGGCAGGGCCACATGCCCCATGCGCCGATGCAAGGTGAGCCAATCACACTCCCCCGTAGCCGAAGTTGGATTGGAGAATGCCGCGCTCGCAATAGCGCCCCACATACTCTCTCCGTAGTCCTCCTCCGCTGCTGCCTCTGGGTTCTCCTCACCCTTTTGCTGCTCCTTGGTTGCTGCACCACTCTCCTTAGGTTCACTGAACTTGCTGGTCCCTCCAGGTTTGCTCTTCTTGAGCTCATTCTCCTTAGCGCGACCGTTCGCGCCATCGTCGCTACCGACCGCTCCATCCTTGGTGCTGATGCTTGCTGCCACTTGCCTCTCCTTAGGCATAGGGACCACTGGGATCTGCCACATCTCGTTGTAGACATCCCTGTCCTCATGAAGGTCCCAAAGAATTCGATCGCCAAGCCTTGCGGTGTAGGTCTTGGCTCCCTTCGAGTTCGTGTCCATGCCGGCCTTTGCCAACCGCCGCACGGAAATCAGGTTTGCAGCAAGGCTGGGCACCCAAAGCACGTTCTTGAGGCCCACCATCTTCCCATCAGCACCCTTGAACATGGCCTTGCCCATGCCTTTCACCTCTGCTCGCTGCCCCAAAGCCGATGTGACATGCTTCACCGGTGACGGCTCGAGTTCGGTGAGCAAGTCCGGGCGAGGTGTCATGCTATAGGTAGCGCCACTATCAATCACCCAATAGTCCAGGGGGTGTAGGGTCACCTTCCCCACAGCTGCTGGCTCCTCAAAGCCTTCATCCTTCTCTGGACCAGCCGGTACTTGCGTCGACACGAAGTAGAATAGACCCGGGTATCGATCGTCGCTCGGGTCCTTGTCGTTGTCTCCGCTCTTCATGTTTGCAGCTCCGCCACGGCCTCCACGGCCTCGTCCTCTCCCTCCTCCTGCTCCTCTACCCTCTTGGCCTTGAGCAGGGGTCCAACCATCAGGGAGTTTGTAGCAGTCGCGCCACATGTGTCCGCTCTTGTGGCAATAGTGACACTCGCCGTCGAATCGGCCGCGACCGCGTCCGTAGCTCTTGTCGTCGCTGCCGTAACCGCCACTCCTGCGGCCTCCGCCGAAGTTGCTGCCACCAAACCTTCCTCCCCCTCGTCCTCTGCCTCTTCCTCGACCATATCCACGGCCGATGCTCGCTGCCCCAGCGCCATCCGCACTCGCCAACTCACGGCGGCGGAAATCCTCTTGAAGGATAGCTCGCTTCACGTCTTCAAGCGAGAGGCGGGGCAAGTCGCGATTAAGGTTGATGATGAGCGAGGACCATGACTCTGGGAGTAAGGCCAGCAACTTGGTCTTCTTTTGGAGCTCACTGTAGTTCAAATCAGCTCCCTCAAGCCGCGTCAACAAGTCGAAGAATTTCTGCACCCCTTCTTCAACCGCTTCGTCTTCTTCAATTCGAAGTGCCGCCATTTGCCGTTCCAACACCACCGCTACCGCCGCTGTTGCAGGAGCATGTACACCCTTGAGAGCAGCCCATGCCTTTGGTCCTTTCTCTGGTTCACGCTGGAATGGCTTGATGTGACGGATCTGACTGCTCCCCAACGCTTGCCCAAGTAAGAGATAGCCTTGTGCGCTCTTCCGCACCCACGGGCTCTTCTCTGGGTCGTTCTCGGGGCGCTTCTCCGTTCCTTCCATCACCTCCAGCAGTTCATAGTGGTCAAAGATGTTCTCCATCTTGAAGGACCATTCAGCAAAGTTGTCACCGTTGAACTTGTCAAGCCCAAACACCCTAGGCTCATCCCTAGGTGGGCCAAGACTTGGTTGCATGGGCGCCATGGCTGAATCACGGGGTTGGCCTTGAGCTTGAGCTTCTCCACTGCCACCAGCACCTCTGCCACCCCTTTCCTCAGGTCCAGACATTGTCGAAACTGCTCCAAGGGGCTCTGATACCACTTGTTATAGTCACAATAGGCTTGAATGTGCCTAAAACGAAAGATAGAGAGCACAGACGGATTTCTGTACAGCGGCTTCAAACGTTGATAGCGTTCTGCTCACAGCTGCAAATGACTTGATTCAAATTGTATCTGGAGCGTCTTCACGTCGTCTACAATTAGCAATTTAGATTGCACGATTTGATAAAGAATTGACGACACAGCGTCGGTTTGAACGAACGGTACTATGGCAGCCACTATAGTCTTAGAACACAAGATAGGAAGAGTTACGAGTTGGGAATGACTCCCAGCTCCTACAAACCCCAAGAGCCGAGGTACAGTGATGTGGAACAGTGCCACACTGTCCCCAACCACGAAGGGTCTCGAAACTACCCTTCACTAGGGCCTACACCAAGTGAAATGTTACACTACACAAAGTAATGCAACTATCTTCAATATCTTGAGGTGTACCCTTTTGGCAAGCTTCGAAATCACTTGAGGCTTGACACCAAGGCTCGGGCTCTTCATCACAAACTCATCCTTGAGTTCTTGATGGGTTTGCTGCACACACCTGCGACACGCCGAACGTTCGACACAGGACAAAATAGAAACCGCGCACGACAAAATAGAAACCGCGCGCGAGACACAAACGACCGCGTAACACGGGTCTAGCGATAACTCGCTATTGACTCGACACACACACTCGACATCATGACTCAACATTCACACACAATTATAAGCATGAAATATATATTATCACATGCCCTCATACCATTCCATACACACACACATTCACGCACACGGACAACAAGCCGAGTGCAAACCGTAGGGTTGCTCCAACAAAAACCAATCGTGGGCTTTTGGCAGCTCATGAGTACATTGGCACTCACCGGCCTTCTTCGCTGCTGTCATAAGAGCCTCCGTTGCCCCTGGGCCGGCATGTAACAAGAAGTATACAAGGTCTGAAAGCGTTGCTGTACGTCCCTCGCCCATCAGAGCGCTTAAGCCGCATCGCAAGTAACAAATAGGAATCTGCATGTGCTTCGATATCGTCAGATTTCCCTGTTCCTTAGCCTTCACCAATTCCTTCACCCTCTTTGTCCATGTCTCCACAGACAATTTTTTTGGATGCCCCATGAATTGCACTCTCCGATACGAGTCCTGTGCTGTACCGACAGCGGATGGAATGGAGGGGGAAAGCAGGGGTAGCGCATGGGTGCGGCGGAGCATGAATGGGGGATACGAATAGGAGGAGGATAGAGATCTCGTCATGGTGGGTATGTAATCATGCGCGGTCCCTTCGACCATGTCAATGCGGCATCCTACAAATAAGGGGCAGGAAGGGAGGGCAGATGAGATGGAAGGGCATGGAGGACTCCAAGAATAACCGGCAGATGTGATGGCATGTGAGGTGAGAAGACAACTTGCTGTGGAGGTATGAGGAAGAAGGGATTGGAGTAGAGAGACCCATAGTAATGATGGGAAATGGGGGCTTACACCCTGCTGACATATTTTCTATTGTAAAATGGGACACTGCAAGGGAGGGAAGATGGGGTGGACAAGAGTGCAGTGGTGAACTAAGGTACGGGGAGACATGTGTAGAGAGGGAAGGCAATAGCAGGGAGGGGAAGGGCAGTAGGGAAAGGGCATGGCAGTCGATGAAGGGCAGGGTTGGGGGGAAACCCAAGGCAGGGAAGGGAAGTTGGACGGAGTCTCACCAGTGTAAGAACCCTAAGCTTGCGCGCTAGATCGCGGTGGGTATTTTTTGGCGAGCTGTAAAAGGAATATATTTGGGATAGCAAGGGGTGTTCAATCAAATACGAGGGAAGCATAGGGAGAAGGGGGGGAGTTGGGAGGAGCAAGGGAGGAAATGTTAGGGAGAAGGGCTGGAATGTGGATGAGCGTGGGGGGAAGTGAGACGGAGAAGGGGGCGTATGTCAGTGTGAGCAGGGAGAGAACTGCCTGGTAGAAAGGGGGGAGACGAGGGGGGGACAAGGGGGAAAATAAGAGGGTGCAAGGCGGGAAATGAGAGTGAGCAAGGGGGAAAGTGTGAGGCGGCAAGGGTGGAACTGAGGGGGAGCACGGTTGAAAGTTAGAAGGAGCATGGGGGGAAATGGCGGGGAGCAAGGTCCGAATAGGAAGGGGGAAGGGCGGAAATGAGGATCAGAAGAGGGGGGAAATGATGGTGAGAAGTGGGCGGGATGAGGGGGAGCAAGGGGGGAAAGGGTGGAAGTGAGAGGCGGCAAGGGTGGTAATGAGGGGGAGAAGTGGGGGAAGTGAAAAGGAGCAGGGGGGAAAATGAAGGGGAGCAGTGGGGTTACAGAGAGGGAGTAGGGGGAAATGAGGGCGAGAATGGGGCGGGCTGAGAGGGAGCAAGGTTGGAAATTAGGGGGGCAATGTGGGGAAATGAGAGGGAAATGGGGGGGAAATGAGAGGGAGAAGGGGGGGACATGTGGGGGAGAAGGTAGGGCAATGAGTGGGAGCATGGGGGGGAGATGGTGGTGACAGGGGGGGGGGGGGGGGGGGGGGGGGGGTTGGGGGGGCTGATAGGGAGCGACGTGGGGGAAATGAGATGGAGAAAGAGGGTTATGAGCTGGAGTAAGGGGGAAACTGAGAGGGATAAAGGGGGTATTTGAGAGGAACATAAGGGTAGATAAAGGAGGGGGAGAAGGGGGTGAATTGAGAGTGGGTTACAGAGAGGGAGTAGGGGGAAATGAGGGCGAGAATGGGGCGGGCTGAGAGGGAGCAAGGTTGGAAATTAGGGGGGCAATGTGGGGAGATGAGAGGGAAATGGGGAGGAAATGAGAGGGAGAAGGAGGGGACATGTGGGGGAGAAGGTAGGGCAATGAGTGGGAGCATGGGGGGGAGATGGTGGTGACAGGGGGGGGGGGGGGGGGGGGGGGGTTGGGGGGGCTGATAGGGAGCGACGTGGGGGAAATGAGATGGAGAAAGAGGGTTATGAGCTGGAGTAAGGGGGAAACTGAGAGGGATAAAGGGGGTATTTGAGAGGAACATAAGGGTAGATAAAGGAGGGGGAGAAGGGGGTGAATTGAGAGGGACAAAGGGGGGGGGGGGGAGGGGGGGTAATGAGAGGGAGAATGGGGGGAAACGCAGGGGTGAAGGGGGGAAATGAGAGGGAGGTGGGGGGAATTGAGCTGGAGAAGGGGGAAAATCCTCGTGAGCAAGGGGGAAATGAGAGGGAGAAGGGGGGAGTTGGGAGGAGCAAGGGAGGAAATGTTAGGGAGAAGGGCTGGAATGTGGATGAGCGTGGGGGGAAGTGAGACGGAGAAGGGGGCGTATGTCAGTGTGAGCAGGGAGAGAACTGCCTGGTAGAAAGGGGGGAGACGAGGGGGGGACAAGGGGTAAAACAAGAGGGTGCAAGGCGGGAAATGAGAGTGAGCAAGGGGGAAAGTGATAAGGAGCAGGGGGGGAAATGAAGGGGAGCAGTGGGGTTACTGAGAGGGAGCAAGGGGGCTTTGAGAGGGAGTAGTGGGGTAATAACAGGGAGAAGGAAGGGGGAGGATGACAGGGAGAAAAGGGGGATTTGTGAGCGATCTGGGCCGGGTTTGATAGGGAAAAAAGGGTACATAAAGGAGGGGGAGAAGGGGGTGAAATGAGAGGGACAAGGGGGGGTAATGAGAGGGAGAATGGGGGGAAATGAGAAGTGGAAGAGGGGCAAAAGGAGGAGGAGAAGGAGGGATAATGCAGAACTGAAGGGTGGATATGGGGGGGAGAAAGGGGCTGAAATGAGGGGGAGAAGGGGGGTAAAATGAGGGGGAGGAGGGGGGGCGATGAGAGGGTGGACGGGGAGCAAAATGAGGAGGAGGAGGGAGGGTAATGAGAGGGAGTAGGGGAACGACTCAAGGCGAGAAGGGGGGTAATCGGTGTGAGCTGGAGGCGAAATGAGAGGGAGTAGGATGGATAATAAGGGGGAGAAGGAGGGAAAGAGAGGGAAGAACAACGGCAAATAAGGGGGAGAAGGGAGGCAAAAGGAGGGGGAGTAGGCGGGGTAGTGAGGGGGAGCAGGGGGGATAAAGGGGGCGAGGGAGGGGTAATTAGAAGAGGATGCGCTACGCGGGAAGGCGCGCGGCGGGTGCGGTGCTAAGCGGGAGAGGGCGAGGCGACACACGGGGAAGGCGCGCAGGGGGCGAGGCGGTACGCGCGACAGGCCCGCAGCGGGTGATTTGTTGCGCGGGAGGGGCGCGCAGCGGGTGCGGAGCTAAGCGGGAGAGGCGCGCAGCGGGTCAGGCGCTAAGCGGGAAATGCGCGCAGCGAGTGATACGCTGGCATGGCGCGCAGAGGGTGAGGCGCTAAGCGGGAGAGGCTCTTCGCGTTGAAGGCGGTAAGCGGGAGACCCGCGCAGTGGGTGACGCGCTTAGTGGGAAATGCCTACCGAGTGGGTGTTGAGAGGGGCGGCGGGGCGAACGGCGCATGGGAAATATGCAATTCCCTCGTCGACGCCTAAATTATCAATCCCTGCGTGGTGATGCACCCCGTCGAGGCGCCCTTGACAGGGCTTCGACGGGCCAGACCACACTGCCTAAACTGAAGACGCGCTCGATGAATGCGGCGCCTTTCCGTCGTCGACTCGGATTGCTTTTTGCCGCTGCGGCGGAATGGTGCTGGCGGGGAAGCTAGATAGTATTTTAGCGCAGGGACCAGCCTATAATGTACCTAAACTCATCTCAGATGCGACTGTATGGGCGGTTTTGATGCTCCGGGTATTATTCGACGCGCCTCGGTTCCTCTCTCAACCCTGAGCCTTTTTTTTTTTTTTTTTTTTTTTGGTGGATATAAGTACACTAACAGCATACATACATCCGCAGTCGTAACTGTTGCTAGGAGGGCATGGAAAGGCTACAAGTAACCAGAACCACCCTTATCCTTTTACGGAGGTTGGAAAGCTACACCGCCATCTTCCCAGATTGCCTTGAAACCAGCTCTCCACGTCATCGAAGCCTCTGTCTCGTAGAGCCTGCGCAGAGCGCCTGCTTCGTCAGCATACAAGTGGCCCCAGTCACCCGCCCTTTCGAAACATTCCTGCCAGCCATTCTCTTCCGCGCTCTGCTGTAGATCTTCACGTGCCGTGTGAAGCCAACTGCTATGCGCCTCAGTGCCCTTTTTGGCTGGAACCGGCTACCACGGAAAACCGCGTTGCACCTCTCCAACCAAACTTGGTGCGCTGTAATGGATATAATTGCAGCCTCAGGGAAGCCGGTTGACGTGCCACTCCGTTGGAAAAGCATGTCTCCGAGAGACTTCATGTCTCTGCCCGGATTCATGCATTGCACCGCTTTCCTTATCACTTCCACCACTGGTTGAATCGCCGGGCAGCTGAAAAGGCAGTGGTCCTGAGATTCCACTCCGCCGCAGTGCGTGCATTTCGCTCTTGCGCCCAAGAAAGGGAGCCGTTCCCCCACTTGTAGGTTGTTACTGTGCACCCTCAGTATCACTTCCCGTGCCCTGCATGGAGTCACCAGCGAGTCACGGACCGTGATGGCCTTCCCCCAGCCAATCTTTCTCCCCAGCTCCTCTTCCCACTTCAGCTGCTGCTTCGGTTGCACCACCGAGGGTTTCATCGCCTTCCTCAGCTTCTTTAGATCAGCCCTCTCGCCTTTCTCACAAATTGTTGAGTAGAGCAGTCGCGTTCTTGGGGCGCCAAGTAGGCCGCGGACTCTCCCGTCTATGACTGCCATGGGTGAAACGCGCCGAAGCTCCACCGTTACCACACTGGCATACTCCAACTCCGTTATGTTCCCTTTCTTGTCCACCATCACTCTCCGACCGTAAAGTTCTCCGTTGCTCACATACTGCAGCTGGTAGTAAAATAATTCTCCCGGGCGGTAAGACGCAGAGCGGACCAGCCTTGTTTCCCTGAAAAACTCCTCCGCCGACAGTTGGTTGAGTACCAAATCCTTCCACGTCTGTGGCGTCGCATCCCACGCCTTCAGGGCCCATTTCCTCTGCTCCACCCCTCCCAACTCCCACTCCAGGACCTCTTCGCTCTTACGGGATCTGCTGCCATCCCCATCTTTCGCCACCAAGTCCCCAAGTCGGATACACTTCAGACAGTGCGAGCCCGCCTTGTTTCCGAAAGGTGACCTGCCTCTGAAGAAGATTTTTCGGTTGAGAAGTAACTGCTCCTCCTCAGCGTCCCACCTGTGAGCCGGGTCACCTATGGTCACAATTTTGGAGTCCCACAGCGCTTTTATTGTACCTATCCATCGCATGCCTCCCCCCAACCAGGATTTCAGGACCGAAGGGTGCGCGTAGATCGTCGCCAAGCCGAGAGGAAAGGCTGCCGCCCTCTCCCACAGCCAGTTCCGGAGTGGCTCCTGCTCCGCCAGAGCTTTCCCCAATCCCTGGATCACCATGCTGTCAATCCGGTGCTTCAAATCAACCACACCCAGACCACCCTCTTTCCGTCCTCTGCACGACAGCTCGTAACTCCATAGTGTGAAATGTCTGTCGAGGAGCGCTTTCCCTCCCGAGATGAAATTATGACACAACCGCTTCACCTTGGTCCAGACCTCGTACGGTGGGGCATAAATCTGCGCCTGGAAAAGCAGGATCGGCATCGCGTAGCTGTTTATGATTGTGACCCGTGCCGAGGTTTTGAGATGCTTAGTCTCCCAGCAGCTCAGCACCGCGCTAACTTTTTCGAAAGCTTTGTCCCATGCAGGTCCCGGCGAGCCTCCAGAGGTGATCCAGATTCCGAGTAGCCTTTCCGATTTGTTCTTCTCCGCCCACTTGAAAGATGACGCTATCGGCTGCAACCTCCTTAGATTTTTCCCCAGCGGCATCAGTGTTGTTTTATCATGGTTCACCTTCAACCCCGAGACCACCGCGAACTCCCCCAGCAGTTTCTCGGCAACCTCCACCTGCTCCTTGCCTTTCAGGACCAGTGTCGTGTCGTCTGCATAACCAATGTAGTCTAAACTCCCTTTTACTCCCCTCTTCCTGACCCCCAGCTTCCTCCGTTCTATTTCTTGGCAGAGTGGCTCGACCGCACAAAGGAAGAGATAAGGGGCGAGCGGACAACCCTGGCGTACACCTTTGGCCATCTCCACCCGCTCCCCTATCCAGCCATTCAGCAGCACCTTGGTTGCTGCTCCATCATGAAGACCCTTCACCCATCTTGTGAACTTCTCCGAGAAACCCATGTTGCCCAACGTCGCGAAAAGGTATTCCCGCGATACCGAATCGTAGGCCTTCTGGAAATCAACCATCAGTAGCAGCCAATCCTCGTCCTCCTGCTCCGCAGCGTCAATCGCGTCTGCTACCAGAGAGACAGCATCGAGAATCCTTTCCGGAAGAAAGCCGAACTGGTTACTTGAAATTACTCTCGGTAAGACCACCTTGATTCTGTTCGCCAACACCTTCGCCAGCAGTTTGTAGAAGAAACTCAATAGTGTAATCGGCCGGTAGTTACCCAAATCGCCCCTGTCTCCTTTTTTATGCAGGAGGATCGTAACCGCCGTCGTGAAGGTCTCCGAAAGCACACCCGCTGATTCAAAACCCTTGACTTCTCTCATCACCGCAGGGCCCAGCAGCTCCCAGTTCCGCTCGAAGAATTCTTTCGGCAGGCCATCCTGCCCTGGGGCCTTCCCCGCCGGTAAGCCTTTGAGCGCCGCCTTCACCTCCTGCTCTGACCATTCCTTGTCTAGCTGCAAGCGTTCCTTCTCCTGCAGCATCCTTCCCTCTTCAATCGGCCACGGCTCCGCGGGAGGGGACGACGACGACAGCGCGTAGGCCTCACGGAAGTGCTCCGAAGCTGCTTGCAGCACCTCACTTGCTCCCTTCCTCAACACCCCTTTGAAAGTGAGTTCCGCTATCTCCGTTTTTGCCTTTCTTGACTTGACCAAGCCTGACAGGAAGCCTGATGGAGTCTCCCCCGCCAGCTCTTGCAGTAACCCCGACAGAATTTGCAGCCGCTCCTTGTTGCTGTCCTGGTAAAGCTTGAGAGCCGCTTCACTTTTTACCAGCTCCTCGTACAGAGCCTGCGACGAAGTGTCTGCCATCACCTTCCATCTGAGCTCTTCCACTTTCATCTCCAAGTGTACCATGGTCGCCTTAACCCTTTTCCTTTCCTCTGCCACATGAGCCCTCATGCCTGCCCGCAGATTTGCCACCACTCTCTCCAAGCCTTGTACCGGCTGATTCGCCTGTGAATCCAGTACCGCCGATATGATATTCCTGACACCTTCACCCCCAGCCTGAGGTGCCTGAAGCCTCCACAGCCCTGGTCCATGATCATCTGCTGATGCTGCCTTGAGTGATATCATCACCGCAAACCAGTGATCCGTTAAACCGTATGGAACCATTCTATGCTTCGCCTCTGTTACGCAGTTGAGGAGAGAATGTGAAACTAAAGCCCTGTCAATCCTTGTGCTTGTTTTTGCAGATCTTGAGAAGAAGGTGTATTCCTTCCTGGTTGGGTGAAGGCTCCGGAAAGCGTCTTGCAGATCCCATCTCGAGAAAATCTGCAGGAGTCTCTGATTTTCCGCCGGTGTACCCAACTTTGAGGATTTATCAAGTTCCGGATCCGCGACGATGTTCAGATCGCCGAGGAGTATGGTGTACTGAGAGGCGCTTAAGTTCTGCACAAAGGGGGTTAGTACATCACGAAAGAAAGCCCCCCTAGCTGGTGCTTGCGCGGGTAAGTATGCTGCTACCACTCTGCAGGTCAGATCCCGCCATGTGATCATCAGGCTTATGAGCCGGCCGGACTCGTGCTTAACCACGTCTGTGAACCGCATGCCTGGCAGGAAGCCCAAGACCGCCACCCCCCCCGGCTCTCTGTGACGGTCCAACCACTGCCTGAGCTTCAGATCTAACTTGCGTCCAGAAGTTATGGTCCTGTGAAACACGTGTGTTAGTGAGTACCACTATGTGTGCTGCTTTTCTGATCCACTTTCCGCAACGCTCCTGTTTCCCGCTGCTACCGAGCCCGTTGATGTTGAGCTCGAGAAAAGTTAGGCTGTTGCGTTTATCCATTAGCCAACTTCCTTGAGCCCCACAGCATCCACGGGCGATTGTACTTTATTGCGACGATGCATCCTGCTACAGCGAAGGAGAACATGGCACCTACTACACAGCTTGCACCGAAAAACCACATCGACATCTCATCCGCTAAGCCGCTGGTCACTTCTTTGCCGGTGTGGCCATGAACTCCTTTTTGAAAACAGCCATCTTCTGAGAATGCTTGCTGGCACGTGTTGCAGCACCTTCTTTCTTCAGCCCTCCCTTGTGCCTGGCAGAAGCGACATGAGCCGCCGCCTGCTCGAAGCGATTCCCCTGAGCCTTCTCGCACACAGTCTGTACGCACACCCACTCCTCCCGCACACCTCCTGTAGAGGTGAGTATAACTGCGGGGTCTTTCAGGATGCGTGTCAGAGACGCTGAGGCTGTCAGGGAGGCCGCTGCGGGAGGAGGTGAGAAGACAGTCATCAGTATGGTTCGAGAAACACGATGCGAGCGGAGTGGAAAAAGAGGGTAGCGAATACGAAGGTAGAGGGTGGGGAGTCTTTCTGCTTATACCGTTCATGTCATGGACCTTTTTGACCGTCAGGTTCCAGTTGGTGAAGTTCTCCTACCTTGAGGTGACATAGTGGTCGTGGTAGCGGGATAGGTGCTGACCACTGCAGAGCTCGCAGGTAAGCGACGGGTAGTGGAGCAAGTAGCGCCTGTTCGTCGACGGGTCTTCCACGAAGTACCTCCACCGGTACTCATCACCAGCGTGAGGGCCAACCAGGCCCCGGATACGATCGGTGTCCAACCCAGAGACCGGATCGACGGTACGGTGAAAGCCAAAACCACTGGCGAACGCACTCCGGCCACGCTTAACCAGCTTCGACACCACCAGCAGGTGACGGATTAGCTCAGCAGTAATATCCGCGGGAACTCATTTGATAACAACTTCTTTCGCCATTGGGTTCAGCAGACGCTCCCGAAGGAAGCGAGCGTCTTCAGGGTGCTGCCAGGTAAAGTCAACGATGTCACCGTTCGCACACTCATGCCTGACGACCTGGCTCCATACAAAGTTCGCATCTCGGACATGATTGAAGGTAACTTGAAGGCGACCATAACGCGTGCCGGAAAAATAGGTCGCGGTGAGCTCCTGATAGGTCGTTGTCTGTAGTACATCAGGCAACAGCTGATCCTTCCAGTCGTCCAGCAAGGCAGCCACAGTTACAGCAGTCCGCTTAACTTCAGGCTTCCAGCTAAACGGCACCAGCAAGGTTAGTGAGAATCTTTTCAAAGCAATGATACTGCCAAGAGAAGCTGGTTCCAGGTGTTCGTCAGAGTCGTCGCTCAGGTACCCCTCTCCGTCACCATCAGGAGCCTGATCCGACGAGGCATCTTCGTCCTCCTGTCCATCAACATCCGCATCAACCTCTTCCTCAGCAGCTTCTTTTTCTTTTCCATTAGCGTCGGTATCAGCAGCACCATCAGCATCATCTCCGTCTTGTCCGCCGGTGCGATCAACCTTGGTCTGTAAGTCCAGCAGGTCTTCGAAGGGACCAAGCACCACAGGCGACGTGGAGGAGGATGGCTCACGCCCATTATCGGCAACATCCTTCACAGGTACGGCAGGTACGTTAGGCACATCAGTCTCCAGGTCATTGTCGGCTGCCTTCTTGCCGGTCTTGTTGTTGCGACCTCTCCCCATGGTGCGGTGATGAGAAAAGCTTGGCAGCCCGTTTAAGGCTGAGAAACAAGCCGGACTGAGCACTTTTACTAAAAACTCTGCATGTTTATACTTCTTATGCATGAAGCTGAAGCGTTGCAGGTCCAGGCCCGGGAGGGGAGCCATAACCTTAGGGATCGCCAGGCTGCCTGGTTGGTTAGGGGCCTCGAGTATCGGTGAACCATTGAAAATGTCAGCATTGAAAGTAACGCGGTGTGATGACAAAGCCTTGCGCAAAGCGCGATGATCTCCATTGAGAAACAAGGAACCTTGATTGTAGCCATGTGTAATAAAAAACCTTGATGTTGCATGAAACACTGTCCATGGCCTGGAACTCGTAAAAATTGTGGTTAGGTTCCCGTAATGAACACTAAAAGGACACCACTGGGTAGAGCTTAAAGCCGCGCATCGATAGAGTGTCTCAATGTCAGTATCAGGCAAGAAATTGATACACATTGACGTAGTTAAAGCTCTCCGCCATGGCCATGGCTGCATTGTCATTGTCATTGTCATTCGCGAGTTTATTTGCAACAAGCTCGTGACCAACCAACGGACCAGGTCCGTCCTCCGCATGCCCGTGAGAGGGGAACCACTCATTCGTCATACCCTGAGCCTACGTTATTAGACGCTTAGTATGCTTCGGAGTGGGCGTGTGAGTGCAAGGTTGGGTGACGGGGGAATTTCCCGTGCGAGGAACTCCTCAGGGGTGCAATTTTTCGCCAATCCTCTCGCCAACCCCCGTTGTGTCGTTCTGGCGAAATTTACCCAGGCTACAGTACAACCCTAAACAGTACTTGCAAATGTATACAAAAGCTTTAATGTGCATGGATATCTGAATGGCTTTTCACTTCAACATTATTCATTGTGTTTTACCTTTCATTGTAGACCTGTCTCATGGGTTTTCTGTTCCACCCAAACAGTTCAAGCGTTCGAATCCATGTGGTAGTAATAGCGAAGCATGAACTACCGGATTTTTTATTGGCTGCTGCTGGTGCCACGACATCTCGAAGTTTTCCACGAGGACCTGACACCAGTGTGGGGAACCTTTGACGTGGCGCGCTCGTCCATGCAAAACTTGAATTCCCTGGCCCAAAACCCATTCCTTGCAGTTGCAGCCTCTGCCATTTCTCCAAAAGCACGTCACGAGCAAGCTCTCAGCTAGCTAAACCAACCGATTTGCAGCAAGAATCAACTTTCTCAACCTCACTCCGTGTAGCCTAACGGCACACCCTAGAAGTCGTCGCTCGTTCATCCCCTCCATTCGCCACGCCACCATTTCCCTCCTGCCGCCGCCGCCTAGCTTCCCACACCATCCCCTCCACCACCCCGCCGCCACCCCGCCGCCACCGCACACGCTGCAGTAGAAGCCGCCTCATAGTGCGCCGTTAGCCCAGCCTTTCAACTAGGCTTCGGGTTATTCCCCCAGTCTCGCAGAGCGCGCTTCGGTGACTCGCCTTTGAGCGTTGTAGAGAACGTTGTTTCCGCACACTGTTCTTTTACTATCGCTGACGTGGGCGCCGCGCCTTATTTCAGCTTACATCGCAGCGGATATTGTTTTTCCCGGCGCTGCATCTCGCGAACGCCCTTAGCGTTGCATCTCGCGAGAACGGACCCGACTCGGAGGGATGGCTGCGATTATAACGGAGCACACGGTAGCGGATCTCGTGCGGAGCAAGCTTGGCCTCGTCGAATTCCTTGAGTCCGCGACTGTCGCCGGTAAGGCGGAACGTTAAATAGGAACGTTGAAGACCTTCTGACGCTTGTACGCGTCAAGCCTTAAAAACAAATACTCACTGACGTGTCAGCCCTCCTCACAACTTTTCTCTGTTCCCCCTCCCCCCCCCCCCCCCCCCCCACACCCTTCTCCGTCGGTGTTTGTGACGGTTGTTCTTTTATCGAAACGTGGGTGTACAGAGGCGATCGAGGCTCTGGTGCGAGAGGACCTGGTAGCAGCTCCCGTGTACTCCACCGCACCCCATGCTGCTGCGGTAAATGTTCCCCTCTCCTTCTCCCCGCGTAAACAGCAACCCGGTAGCAGCCCCCGTGTGCTCTTCCTTCCCCCACCTCCTCCCTGCTCCCCCCCACTGCTGTGGTATTCTTACAACTCTCCTTTTCCTCGCGTAGAGGAGTGCCTGGTAGCAGCTCCCGCTTACTCGCCCCCCCTTCTCCCCCAATCGCTCCCCTCCTTCTCCCCGCTTAAACGACAACCTGGTAGCAGCTCTCGTTTACTGCACCGCACCCCATGCTGCTGCGGTATGGTCACCCCGTCTCCTTCTCCCCGCTTAAACGACAACGTGGTAGCAGCACCCATGCACTCTTTCCCCCGCCTTTCCGCCCCACCTGCTCTCCCTTCCTGCTGCGGTATGCATCCCCCTCTCTTTATTCCTCCTCCCCCGCTGCCTCCCCTCCCCATCCCCCTTTTCCTCCTCCCCCGCTGCCTCCCCTCCCCATCCCCCTTTTCCTCCTCCCCCGCTGCCTCCCCTCCCCATCCCCCTTTTCCTCCTCCCCCGCTGCCTCCCCTCCCCATCCCCCTTTTCCTCCTCCCCCGCTGCCTCCCCTCCCCATCCCCCTTTTCCTCCTCCCCCGCTGCCTCCCCTCCCCATCCCCCTTTTCCTCCTCCCCCGCTGCCTCCCCTCCCCATCCCCCTTTTCCTCCTTCCCCACTGCCTCCCCTCCCCATCCCCCTTTTCCTCCTCCCCCGCTGCCTCCCCTCCCCATCCCCCTTTTCCTCCTCCCCCGCTGCCTCCCCTCCCCATCCCCCTTTTCCTCCTCCCCCGCTGCCTCCCCTCCCCATCCCCCTTTTCCTCCTCCCCCGCTGCCTCCCCTCCCCATCCCCCTTTTCCTCCTCCCCCGCTGCCTCCCCTCCCCATCCCCCTTTTCCTCCTCCCCCGCTGCCTCCCCTCCCCATCCACCGTTTCCTCCTCCCCTAATGCAGCGACATACTTCCCCCGCCCGCTCCCACGCTTGCGGCTTCCATGCAGCCCAAGCCTTGGCTGCTTCCCTCGTTTGGAGGTGACTTTTGAGTCGACTCAAAAGTCACCTTGACATACTTCCCCGCTCCCAAGATTAGGTTTCTCATTTCTTCCTTCCCGGTCACATACATTTATTCCTTCCCCGCTCCTTGTTCCCGTCCCATCAAGCACGCGGCTCCCTGGCTCGTCCATCCTCTCCCTGCCAGATGACTCTGCGCCCCTCCCTCCTCTCCTCTCGTCTCTCCTTCCCGTTTCCCCCTGTCCTTCCCCTCTCCCCTGTTCCCATCCCATCAGGCGCTCGGCTCCCTTGCTCGCTCCATTCTCTCTCCACCTGACAACTTTCCTCCCCTCTCCCTCCTCCCCTCCTGCTTTCCCCTCTTTCCCTCTCATTACTACCTGCGCGTTTCCCCTGTTTCCGTTCCATCAGGCGCTCGGCTCCCTTGCTCGCACCATTCTGTCCCTGCCAGATGACTCTGACGCGCTGTCGCTTACTGCAGCAGCTAATAAGGCGTACACTGGGACTGTCACCATGGTAGACCTGCTGCTGCACGTGGCGGGGGGGGAGGAGGAGGAGGGGGAGGGGGAGTGGGAGTGGGAGGGGGAGGAGGAGCAGGAGGGGGACAAGGAGACGGGGAGGGAGAGGGGGAGGCGGGGGGGTGGCATGTGTGAGTTGGAGACGCCAGTGGGGCAGCTGGTGAGGGCGAGTGAGGAAGGGCTGTCTCTGCTGCTCACTGACTTGAACGCACCGTAAGCTGCCTTAAGTGCCCTGTAAACCACCACCTGGTGCGTCGTAGGCTGCCGTTCCTCTTAGTCGTGTGCTTCTTAGGTCGCATGCTAGTTGAGCAGCTGGTGCGGGCGAGTGAGGAAGGGTTATCGCTGCTGCTCACTGACTTGAACCCACCGTAAGCTGCTCTTCCTCTTATGTGTGTGCTTCCAAGGTCGCACTCTAGTGGGGTTTCTCCAAATCCACTAGTGGGGCGCTTCGAGTTTGTCAAAATTTCCTTTTACTGTCTCTCCTTCCCTTCCCGAATCCTCCCCTCCACCTACCAGTATCAACACCATCATGCGTCCCATGGCGCAGGGAGTGCAGCGCCTGATCGTCCCCATCCACACCCGCCCCTCCTCTTCCATCCCCTCTGCCTCCTCTCCGCAAGGCGATGAACCACCACTGGCAGCATCACTCCCGTCTCACTCGCTTTCCTCTCACTCTCCATCAGCAAACATCCCGTTTGCCTCTCCACACTCTCCATCCTTCCGACCGCCACACTCCTCCCATGTCTCTCCCTCCCCCTCCTCTCCCCCCTCCTCCTCCCTGTCCCACACCTCTGCCCCTCCCTCTCAGTCATCTCTCTCCTCTCTCCATTCTCTCACTTCAAACTCTTCCTCCCTCTTCTCTCACCCCTCCTTCACCTCCCACTCCCTCACTCCCTCCACCACCACCACCACACTCGCCACCTCCCCTCACTCTCTCTCCTCCACCCCCTCTCAGCACTCTCACAAACCCCTCGCTTCTACCATCGCCTCTCTCTCGTTAGAGCACCTGCAAGGGGTTCCGGATGCGATTCCTTACAAGCAGCCTCAATATACGCAACAAGCAGGGAGCACTGTACAGCGTTCGGAGTGCAACACACACTACTCGTGCGCGTTTCCAAGTGATGATGAAGAGGAGACAGAGGAAGGGGAGAAGGGAGGCGAGGAGGAGGGGGAGACGGACGGTGGAAGAGAGGGGGAAAGGGAGGGGCAAGGAAGAACAACCAGTAACACACACTCTGCCCTCACCCCTGCCACTTTTACTACCACCCCAGCAGATTCCAACATCCCTACTGCCACTCCTTCTACCATTCCTCCTACCACTCCTACCATCCTTCCCCCCACTCCCACTAGCACCACCTCCCCCTGCTTCCGCTGCCCAGGGGGCAGCTGCACGCCCTCCCGAAAGTTTTTCTGCCCGCATTTCTGCGTGCTGACTCAGACTGACGTGGCCAGGTGGCTGCTCGACAGGGCGCCTCAGCTGGAGCCTGTACCCTCTGAAAGCCTCCTCGATTTAGGGCTCATTCACCCCCGGATTGTGACTGTCAAGTGCTCTGACAATGCGTATGAGGCTCTGCAGCTGCTCCAGTCGTCCGCTGGTGAGTTTATGTGGGTGGTGGGAAGGAACGGTGGGTTGTGGGTACCTGTATAAGTCACAGTGTCCAATCACTAGCTCTCGCAGTCCTCTCTCTTGCAAGTGCTCTGACAATGCGTATGAGGCTCTGCGGCTTCTGCAGTCGTCTGCTGGTGAGCAGTCAGTGTGTTGGGAAGGATGAGTTGGGATCACTTGCGCAAGTTACTGTCAACTCATTAGTTATGGTGGGCCTTTCTCTTTCTCAATCGTTCTGAGAGGGCATGTGAGGCTTTGCAGCTGCTGGTGGGTTCATGTGGTGGGAAGGGTGGGGTGTGAGGAGAGGACCTTGTATAAGTCACTGTGCCTATCCAGTCACGAGCAATGATAGTCCCTTGCAACTGTTCCGACAACGCGTATGAGGCTCTGCAGCTCTTGCAGTCGTCTGCTGGTGAGTCAGTCAGTGTGTGGCTATTTGAGTCTGATCTGTGTGTGTCTCAGATTACAGGCATGCACGCCTTTCTGTGTATGTATACGTGCTTTTCGATATTCTTGTCTCACTCCACCCCGTTTGTGTTCACTCTCTGCTTCTCCCGTCATCCCCCTTTTGTTTCCACGTCATCCACCCTCGCTTCACCTGCCTTACCCCTCCCCTTCCTTACCCCTATTTCCCTGCTTTGTCCCACTGCCCTCACGTCCCCAGGGGATGTCAATGCATTGGCAGTGGTCGACCCTTTCCCTGAACCCAGCCCTTCTCTCCCCTCCTCTCCCCATCACACTGCCCTCACGTCCCCAGGGGATGTCAATGCATTGGCAGTGGTCGACCCTTTCCCTGAACCCACCAGCCCTTCTTCCTCAAAGTCAACCAAGTCAACTCAAGTCTCATCTGCTGCCGACCCTAATCCCCGTGAAAAGCTGGTGGGGCAGCTGTCGAGTGTGGATCTCCGCGGCTGCACTGCGCAGTTCGCCGCCCGAAATTTGCGTGGCATGACGGTGCAAGATCTGCTGCTGGCAGTGCCGGCCACTGAGAGGTACTGGCGGAGCCGCGAGCGGGGCGAACAGCTGCGACTGGTGCAGCAGAAGCAGGAGCAACAGGAGCAGCAACAGCAACAGCAGGTGAAGGTTGAAACAGCATCCGAAAATGCTGCTGTTGCTCCTCCATCCACTAAGAGAGGCCAGCTGAGGCCGGTGAGCAAGTGCAAGCCGAGTAGCAATCTATGTGCGGCCATGGCGCAGGCCCTGGCTCACAGGAATCACCGCGTGTGGGTGGTGGATGACCATGGGTGCCCGACTGGTGTGGTTACATTCAGCGATATGATTTCGGCGTTTTTGGTGGATCCGAGAGTGCATGCGATGGGTGCCTGAACAAGGAGAGGCTGTTTGGGGCCGGTGAGCAAGTGCAAGCCAAGCAGCAATCTTCGCGCCGCCATGGCACTGGCACTAGAGTGTGGCGCACAGGAACCACTGTGTGGGCGGTGGATAACCATGGGTGCCCGATGGGTGTTGTTACATTTAGCGATATGATTTCGGCGTTCTTGGCGGATTCCAGAGAGCATGCGATGCGTTTTTTACTTTCTGTGTTTCCTGTCTTGTGCATAGTATTGATTGACATTTTCATTACAGAGACTTGTACAGCCTGTAAGCTACACCTGGAGTAACAGCGAAGCTACCAATAAGCTGAGATTCACAATTCGGTTTCTGTCCTGAATCCCTGGAATTTGGAGGAACCCCACACGCTTGAGGCTTCAAGTACAGGGAATCACATTGCCCAATAGGAGCTGGCTGACCACGTCAGCACGGCCCATCCAGCCGAGCCAAAACTCCTAGTCAGCGTTTTTGGGCGCGGCGACCTCAATCTGTTGAGTTTTATCAGCAGTACGCCTAGCTGGCCGATCAGGGAAATCCCAATTCAAGTTTCCTCCCAGATTTCTCTGATTTCTAGCTGGAATCCGAGAAAACAATTTTCAAGCGAAACTCGTTCTAGCAGAGGGCTAATTTTTCCAAGGAGGCTTGTTCCTTTGCACCAGTGGAGGCGCTAGTCCTGCTTCGAGTATTATCGCTCCGTCGCGTGTGACGGGAATTGCAAGTCTGCATAGGGCTTGCAGTATTGCTGGAAACAGGAAGTTTCATTGAGTGTACTCGAACTGGAAACATGGCGGCCACAACCACCTCTCAGCTGTACGTTTCTGTTCATTAAACACATGCGTTTGTTATTTATGTCACAAGAGCTCGTTGATGCTTGTTCGACGGACTGGGCAGGAGGTTAGATTGCCTGGCCGGAATGTAGCAAACGCAGATTGGAGACCAAAAGGCAACAATGCAACGTTCGGTTTCGAAACTTTCCGAATCCGGATCCAGCATCCACGTTTGGCAGTCTCGTATCGACATATTCATCTCAAATTTGCAATTTAGTCTGTCGCTTCCTCAGTATCTAGAGACCAGCTCACCCAGTAATGTTGGCTACCCTTGGAGCCTGCCTGACCCGGCTTGTGCAAATCTATAAAAAGCATCTACTGAAGTGCTGGAAGTTGTTTTGCCTTTGAAACGCCTTTAAGCTTTCTGAGTTGTGGTATTTCGCTTCTGTCCTCGCCTTTGTCCCACCAGCGTGCAGAGCCACGTCAGCACCATCGCGCAATCATCCCGATCACCAACGACGGCGGCCAGCGCAAAATCCGCCGTGTCCTTCTCAGGCTCCGAGCTTCACGGCGTTGCCTGCCGAACCCGCACGACCAAATCCGTCTCCTGCAATGCCTCGCAGAGGCAGGCCGTGCAGCCCAGGGCGTCAGGTAAGCGACGCTGACGGATGTGCTTTCAAGTACTTCTTCCCTGAAGTCATCCCCGACAATGCCTCTTGCAATCCAATCCCTCGCAGGTGTTGCTGCGCCTTGCTTTTTTCCACAGTGTAAAGAAAAAAAATATTCAATGCGTCTAGGGCATGAGGTACAAGAAACTTATCAATTCCAACATTCAACTAGCGCGGGCTGCGCGTCGAGAAACCATTCCGCGGCACCCGCGTACCAGGGCCTTTCCTTATGGCATCACAACTTATCCCCTCCCTCCCGTTCCCCCTTCCAGCGGACGAGCCCCTGCTGGTGCGCGCAGCGCGCGGGGAGGCCATTCCGCGCCCGCCCGCCTGGATGATGCGCCAAGCGGGGCGCTACATGGCCGCCTACCAGAAGCTCTCCAAGAACCACCCCTCTTTCCGGGAACGTTCCGAGACGACGGATTTGATCGTCGAAATCACCCTGCAGCCATGGCGCGCGTTCAAGCCCGACGGCGTGATTCTGTTCTCGGACATTCTGACGCCGTTGGATGCGATGGGAATTCCGTTCGAGATCGACGAGAACAAGGGCCCAATCATAGACAGCCCCATTAGGACGACGGAGGCGCTCAAGGCGTTGACGCCGGTTCAGCTGGACAAGCTGCACTTTGTTGACGAGTCGCTGAGGCAAATCCGGAAGGAGGTGCGTGGGAGGGAGGTTGGCGGGGAACTGTTGAGGGGGGAGGGGGGATTGGAGGGAGGGGAGTAACGTGCGAAATTGGGGATAGGGTTGGGTGTTGGTCAAGGCGTTGACGCCGGTTCAGCTGGACAAGCTGCACTTTGTTGACGAGTCGCTGCGGCAGATTCGGAAGGAGGTGCGTGTGATGGAGGGCTGTCGGGGAACGGGTGGGGTGAGGAGGGGGGAGTAAAGGGTCGGGAGGGAGGCTTAGAGTAGGAAGATGGGGGGGGAAGGGGGAGGGGGAGGGTGATAAGGTAGAATGAGGGGATTTGGTGGGGCAGAGTGGGGAGGGGGAGGGAAGAGCGGAAGGGTGGGGAGGGGGAGGGAAGAGCTGAAAGGTGGGGAAGGGGGGGGAAGAGCGGAAGGTTGGGGGAGAAGGTGCGAGGGTTTCAAGGCGTTGGCACCCGTGCGGCTGGACAACCTGTCCTTTGCTTATGCGTTGCTGCAGCAGATCCGGAAACAGATTCGTGGGTGTGAAATGGACACTGGAGGGTAGCGGGGAAGACTACATGAGATCAACGAGTCAGAGCGCACCACACGTGCCCCTGTCCCATCTCTTCCCCTTCCCACGCTCCCGTCTTCCCTTCTCTCACCTTCCCCACTCCCAACCTTCCTCGTGTCTGACATGCATTTGTCCCTTTTCCCTTCCCCCATTTCCCTTCTCTACTTACCCCCTCCACCCTCATGCTGCTCGCCGGCAGATTGAGGGCACGGCTGCCCTGCTGGGCTTTGTGGGGGCGCCGTGGACGCTGGCGACGTACTGTGTGGAGGGCGGCACCACGCGCACCTACACCAAGATCAAGGGCATGATCCACAGCGCGCCGGACGTGCTCCGGGCGCTGCTGCAGCACCTGGCCAATGAGATCGCGACATATGCCGCGTTCCAAGTGGACGCCGGCGCGCAGTGCATCCAGGTCTTTGACTCGTGGGGCGGGCAGCTGCCGCCCGACCAGTGGGACGAGTGGGCCAAGCCGTACATCATCCAGGTGAGGAAGAGCTCGGCTGGTGGTGTGCTATGTGGGGTGAACGCACCTGCCTTCAAAACGAGTCACTCAATCCATCAAACCATAGGTTTTTTTAAGTCATCACGTCACTTGGTAGGCAGCGGCAGTGGCGACGGTTGGCGCATGAAACACAGGCATGACAACTGGTGCATTCCTCCACTCCCACCATCCTCTCCTCCCTTCATTCCCCAGGTCATCTCCCAGCTGAAGGCAAAGCACCCGACAGTACCCGTCGTGCTCTATGCTAACGGCAGGGGGGGGCTCATGGAGCGCATGGCCACCACTGGGGCTCACCCATGAGAGCCCCTGTTGCATCCCTCCCGTATCATCGTCCCCATTCCCCAGGTTATCTCCCAGCTGAAGGCAAAGCACCCCACGGTGCCAGTCGTGCTCTATGCCAACGGCAGTGGCGGTCTCATGGAGCGCATGGCCACCACTGGTGCTGACGTCATTGGCGTTGACTGGACCATCGACATGGCCGATGCACGGGCGAGGATTGACGGTGCTCTGAAGGCGAGCCCTGGGGGGAGTGCGAAGCCGAGGCTGTCGGTGCAGGGCAACGTGGACCCTGCTGTGCTGTTCGCTTCCAAGGATGCCGTCACTGACGCCATCAATCGGTGAGTGGTCTTGGGTGTAGTGTGATTGTCATCGGTGTTGACTGGACCATTTAGATGACTGATGCACGGGCGAGGATTGACGGCGCTCTGAGGGCGAGCCCCGGGAGGAGTGAGAAGCCGAGGCTGTCGGTGCAGGGCAACGTGGACCCTGCCGTGCTGTTCGCCTCCAAGGATGCTGTCACTGACGCCATTCACCGGTGAGTAACTTGCTGTAACCAACTGTGGCATGTAGCAAAGGTATACTGTGAGTGATGTCGGTGCAGGGCAACGTGGACCCAGCTGTGCTGTTCGCGGTCACTGACGCCATTCACCGGTGAGTGATTCGTTGTAATCGCGAGCGGTATACTGTGAGTTCTGTCGGTGCATGGCAACCACTAGGGCGGGTGGATGTCATCGGTGTTGACTGGACCATTGACATGGCCGATGCACGGGCGAGGATCGATGGCGCTCTGAGGGCGAGTTCGGGGGGGAGTGCGAAGCTGAGGCTGTCGGTGCAGGGGAATGTGGACCCTGCCGTGCTGTTTGCCTCTAAGGATGCTGTCACTGATGCCATTCACCAGTGAGTGTGACTGCCAGGGCATCACGAGCTGCATATTGTGAGTGCTGTCAGTGCAAGGGAATGTGGATTATGCTGTGCTCCGCCTCCAAGGATGCCATCACAGGTGCAATCCTAACTTGCTGCAACAAGGTGTACTGTGAATGCTTCTGTTTCTGCCGTCTTCCTTTCCACCCCTACCCTCCATACCCTCGTTCTCATTCACTCTCTCCCCAGTGTGTGGGCAAGGCAGGTCCAGGGGGACACATTCTCAACCTGGGCCATGACGTGGTGGTGGGGACATGCTCTGTTCTTTTTTCTACCGGTAACGATCTGCCGTACTTCTTTCCACCCTTCATACCCCCCGTGCCCTCGTTCTCATTCACTCTCTCCCACAGCTGTGTTGCCAAGGCGGGTCCGCGCGGCCACATTCTCAACCTGGGCCACGGTGTGTTGGTGGGGACACCAGAGGAGAGTGTATTGCACTTCTTTGAAACGACTCGCGCTCTCAAATACGCTGAGGAGCCTGTTGTAGCAAAAGCTTAAGATTGAATGTTCATTAAATAGCTATGGAATTACCAGTACCACTCCTGGACATGCTTGTAGCAATTCTGTTTATCAGTTGAGCTCCGCTAGTATTGTGTACGTGCGCCCTTATGACCTTGCCCTGAAATTTTTAGAGAAATCCATGTAGGAGATCGTGCATTGAACAAAGGTGTGCATTCCAATCCAAGCCTTTAAATGAGCACCTGAGCAAAGAGCCAGCAATTGACAGGAAGCTAGAAATGCAGACAGAGGATTTTACCATAAGTTATTTCACAAAATTAATGATGTTTCTCAGAGTTGTATTTTCTTCTCGTGGGACGAATTTCTCTTAAAATCCTTGAGCTACAATCTTACTGAGGAAATTCACAGCGAGTAACTTACAACAACAGGGCCTTGTTCTGCAGGCGGACAATTTCCAGAATCTGGGTCTGCAGAATCTTTGTGGATAAGTAATTATTTGCTTATCTAGGTTTGGTGATAAGAGCGTTCCTGCCAAACCTATTTGCGCCAAATTTGACGCTTCAGCCTGCAGAACACCACTTTTGTGCCGCACAAATTTAACCGCCCGCTGGCTCGACGTTGTTGCTTCGCCAGGCAAACGGTCGCACAACTAGTGCGGTGCTGATTCAACCTCGAGGGCTTGCATCAGCCAGCGCACAAGTTATGCGGGGCAGCATCAACACGCAAATTTCGGAAATGCATATGGCTGTGCGGGGCTTCGTAGCAACATCCACGCTGCAAATTTCGATTGGGTGCGACACGAACCTTCTAGGAAAGAATGGCCCGTACATGTTGCGCGGAGGCAAGTCCGCCTACAGAACAAGGCCCTTTTATTCAACCCGACAGACGGAGATCTCGGAAGTTACCTTCAACCTGCCTGTGCAAATCTCACCTGTTTTTGACTGCCATTCGCACAATTCCACTTACAGATCTCTAGATACCTCTTGGTCGCAACAGCCATACCTCCAGCTACTCTCACAAACCTCGACGGCATAGCCACCATCACAAGATCGTACTTTGGTTTATTCTTTCATATAACTTCTTAAGTTTGGAGAATGGAGGCCGTTGAGTATGTCGTGAAGCCGGTGCAGGACTTCGCCAAGGACAGCATCAGACTAGTGAAGCGGTGTCATAAACCAGATCGGAAAGGTCCGTTTACGTGTTTTGCCCTGACATCGGATTAACTTCGCAATCTTCTTCCGCGCCATCATTTCTCGCAATCATGTCATTCCTCCCTCCGCAGTTAGGTTCCGTGTGACCTAATTTGTTACGTTTCGGCTATTTTCAACCGAGCGTCTTCGTTCAGCTTCCTTGTTCTTTATCAGGGCTCAAATTTCCTCATTCTTATTTTCCGATGGTCTATGACGTGCAGAATTCACGAAAGTTGCATCCAGGACAGCCATTGGGTTCGTGGTCATGGGATTCATCGGCTTTTTTGTGAAACTAATCTTCATCCCCATCAACAACATTATTGTCGGATCGTAATCAAGGTATGACGGCATACCGTTTACAAACAATGGGGAAAACTCAATTATTTGTTTAAATATCCGTCGCTTGTTTAAATATCCGTCGCCCTGCTTTCTCTCCGTACCCATATGATCAAGGTACGACGGCATACCGTTCATTAAATATAATCCGTTCCCCAGGACTGTCTGGGCACACGCGAAACGTTACTTGCTGAAAGGGTCAAAGTGCGTGTTGATGGGGCCAAGCTACTGATACATGTCTCTTAGTGTCCTCTGCGAGGGCCCACTTGCAGAGTTGGTTTTAATCTCTTGTGCCTTCGTGTCTGTCAGTTAATCCTCCTCCTTTCACCATTATTGCATTCTCACCATAATCTCCATGCAGATCCGGGGTCGTCCGTGGTGGATAGACAGGTTGTATCAAGCCTTCACTGATATCTTCATATTCCGGTTGTGGTGGTTGGGTAGTGCAACTATGTCATTGTGTTAGAAAGCTGATGTAATGAATGCAGTTTTTGGTTACATGAGTATAAGAAATGACGTGACTGGTTCGACCACACTGGGTCAGAGCTAGAAAAATACAGCCTTCAACCATTTAGTTGCTCCAGATGTGCCTGGGTGCTTCCCCGGGGTGTCCCACCCTCCAGCTATTCCATGTCTTCAGCAGACTTAGGGGAGTAAGGAGGAATGGTCGAAAGAATGACCACTAAGGTCATGAAGAATACCCACTGGATGTCAGGAAACAACATAAGTCCAGGAGTGGGTTTGACAAACGAAGACAGGGAACATCCGTGAGGAATTGTAAGTTTGTCATGGAACAACCGAGGGGAGTCAAAGAAGCAACAAAAAGGACATGTATGGGCTATCTTGCCAATAGCCTGTATCAGAATTGAAATGCAGATGAATGGATGACAGTGCAGGTGTAGGAGCACCTGAGAGGGTAGAAGCACGTACCAGGATGGGGATGATGAAGAAGCCAAAGACTGGCCATAATGCAATTGCAAATCTGTGGAAGGGAGGACACAAGGGAACAGAGATCAAAACTTGAAATGTGCCACAGGAAAGCAAACCCCTTTCCCACCTCTCGCCCCACTAGACGCCTAGATGACAAGACTACCGTAGAATGAACAAGCAGTGGTAATGGATGAAAAAAAATGAGAATTCTTTTTTTACCAGTTTACATGGAATGTGGTTCATCACAAAGCAAGCAGCCAACTGCTTTGGGTCTGGTACTCTCCTATGTGATCTAACTGACTGCAACAGTGCACACTAAAGCATCTTTGGCAGCCAGGCGCCAAAAGCTCCATCACTCTCATCAGTGGACTACAAAACCTAAATGTTATCGTGTTGGGAGAAGAGCTTTTGTTAGAACGTGGAAGAAGCACTTACAGTATGAAGGACATGAAGCTAAGCAGAGTTGTGGTTGCATTGGCTCCAGGAGCAGCGAGCTCAAAGTGACGGGTATTTTTTAGCACGAGGCGGATGAGAACAGTGAGGTAGAGCCAAACGGCCACATTGACGATGATGCACACACACGCCACAAAGAATTGTTGCCTGAAATTTGGAGGATGGGGTGAATGGGAGTGGAGGGGAAGGAAAGTAGAGGATGTACATATTTGATAACATTGTGATGGTAGCCTGCTTGAAAGCGGAAGGTTATGGACAGAGGGTGAAGGGGGTGGAGATAAGTGGAGAGGGTACACGTTGAAGAATACCCATAGACTTCAAGTTTAGAATAGTTAAGACAACACAACGAGGGAACGTGACAGAGGATATAATTTTAGGTCAGGGGTTTGACTGTATTTCTTGCATTTACAGCACGTGTGTTTGTACAGATCACCAGTCATTTGTGTCGGGTTTAGCAAATCGTGGGGACGGAATGGTAATCGGTTCAAGCCCGAAACATTCAGAGGCCGCTTTAGGATACCCTGCCTGAAAGAACGTGAATTCTTGACTCATATCGGAGTACCTGGTCTTAGTGTCACAAGGAACAAGGACGAAAGAATGTCGGCTTACTTGTGCACGCGAGGGTCCTTCAGCACCGCCTTAAAGAAATGTCGCTTGCCGTCGCCGAATACTAGAATTGCGACGCAAGCAAGGAGCCATCCTGCCGACTCTAGTTTACTCCGTTTCCGCGGCGGCGTCGGCTTCATTTTCATGTCAAGAGCAATGTCGCCCGAGCCAACCCCGTTCTCGTCCCGATCGTCCTCATCGTTCATAGCCGTCGCGTTATTCGCGGAACGGGCTGACGTGGTAGGTATGCTGTCCGCGTCATCTTCTGGAGTTATTTCACTCGTTGCTCGATGGCGAGGCTGCGATCTCACTTCTTGCACGTACATTCTGGCAAAATGCAAAGAACTCTGGGAGACGGTGCCAACCCTACAATTAAGGCTGTAAGCTTCAACGGGGCCGAAGGACGGATGCTAATACTCCTTAGTAAAGATCCGTACCTGTATTTGGTAGTCGTCACATAACGGAGTGCCAATATGAGACGCAACTGCGACTACTGCACAGAGGCAGCCATGGAAACATCTAGATTTTCTCAGGGAAAAGGAGAATCTCTGGTTACCAATGCTCAAATGCGGCGAAAGTGCTTGGGTCGCTTCAATCGAGCCCTAAGGGCGCCTTCCTGAGATGGGGCCCCATCGATTTGCAGCGCCATTGGTCCAGCGTGGCAGAATAAGATATTGGTCACACCAACCACACGTGCCATGCGACGGGAGACGATTAGGGCGAAAAACAAGGGAGAATTGGTGCCACCACTCACATGCGTCTGCATCGAACGTTCATGCGACAGTTTCCAACGGCCACATGCTGTGGGGAGACGGTCGAAACCACACTGGGAGGGAATTGATAAACCTTTTAGGGTTCTCACTGGAATTGCATTGTGCTATTGGTATGCGCGCAGGATGATGTTCAGTTTTTTGGTTCCGTGACAGTCTAGCTCGACTGTCGTTCTGACATCCGGGGGCAGGAAAAGTTGACGTGAGGGAGGATCGCACGACCCTCAGCTCCCAACTCATGCGACGTCCATATTCGCCCCCCCTTTGCTGCCATGCCACGGACACGTGCTCTGGGCACTGCTGTTGGGGGAACTTCGGATGGGGCCCCATCTCAGGAAGGCGATCTAACTCTTCGTGATCAGGGGTGTACGGCCATCATGAGAGCTCGTTATCCCTCAATACCGCAGGAAAACCTTCACTATATCAACGCGAACGTTTTGAATCGCAGTGATCCCCTCTGAACCGCCATGACTAAACTCTTCCACCACCTCAAGTTCCCCACTTCGCAGTGCGGTCTCGCATTCTCTGATCCACCAGCTACAGGGTAATTACATTCTGGGTAACCAACATCGAGCCCGCTGACGTCAAAAGTCACCTACGTGGCTCGATGGTACCCGTCAGATCATGCGCACCCCTTGGTGGTACCCATCTTCCCTCCGTGGTACCCATCTTCCCTGCGTGGTACCCATCAACTGTGCGTGAATTCCCTGACTGGTACCGCAACATTTCAACCGAGCTGTACACCGTACAACAAGGGTTTCAATGCGATTTTCACTATATTGTACCAACGTTTTCTGTCTGCAATTGAACATTAATACATTTGAACATTAATACCTTTGAACGTGCCTTGCACTGGATAGAGTGCAACCTAGAAAAAATCAACTCCCCTTCTAAATTCCTCACGTTACCTCCGAACCTTTGTAAGCTCACATCACTGAGCGATAGGTAGCGTGAATCTTACGACAATGTTTCTCAGCGCGCAGTTGGTAATCTGAACAAAGTTCATAAGGTTGTATGCAAATAATTTGAGCATGTACCCCCACAGCTAAATAGAAAAGCATAAACAAATAATACGTACATTCGTTGGTTTCTGGAAACAAAACAATACCCATTAATGAAAATCAAATAACCTTAAGTCAATATATATATTACGTGTCAGTTGATCGTTTGTTACACGGATGTTAATTTTTGTGTTTCGGTTGATGCAATATATCTGTGGTGATTTAAATTATATCACGTTATAATGTGGATGTTTATGAGCCTAAATAAATCTACACAATAAATGTTTTCCTAAATTCAGCTTTTCTTCTACACTTTATTATAGGTAATGCGCTTGAAAATTTGACCCGATTATGTGGCACTTCGGGCTTCGGACTCTATTGAGCTTGTAAACGTTAAGACAATATAGTGAAAAACGCATTGACACCCTTGTTGTACGGTGTACAGCTCGGTTGAAATGTTGCGGTACCAGTCAGGGAATTCGCGCACAGTTGATGGGTACCACGCAGGGAAGATGGGTACCACGGAGGGAAGATGGGTACCACCAAGGGGTGCGCATGATCTGACGGGTACCATCGAGCCACGTAGGTAACTTTTGACGTCAGCGGGCTCAATGTTGGTTACCCAGAATGTAATTACCCCCAGCTACACGATGTGCTGCGACGCGAACATTGTTACTGAACCTGGGATGGTTGGTCGTTGGCGGCGTGGGTTGTGGAGGAACGGCCACCGTGGCTTTGTGGGACTGGTCGGGGAAGCACTTTTCGCTGAAGGCACACAGGTTTGTAAAGCGCCTTCACATACCAATCTCCGGTTCGAAATTATTCAAAACCAGGCCAAGAACGCCCCAGGTTTGGTGGTTTTGCGTGGAGAGGGCCGACCTGCTGCAAAAACTGCAAGAGGTTCGGCTGGTAATCTCAAGGCAAGGCCGTTCGCTCATTGGTTTTCGAGAAGATGGAGCGCGTTTTTGCAGAGCTTTCTAGAGAGATGTGTCGAGCTTTGCCGCGTTCCTGAACTCGTCTTAGTTGCCAGTAACTGAGGGGGATGTCGTAGCGGGGGTTTTCACTGGAATTTCGCCTGGTGCGTGGTGGCACCGTTGTCTACCGTGCCAAAACGTACTGAACCAGATATAAAGATCAGCGGAGAAACATGACAGGATCAGAATGGTGCTGGTGAGCAGCAGCCATGGATATTGCCAAGAGTCAGCTAAGAGTCTCCTCCTCGGAAAGTCCCTTTTGACAGCGACGCGAGACTGTCATGTTATAACTCACAACACAACTGACCCTATGCCGTCCGTCGTTCCTCCTGCCTCGATTTTGACTGGACATCTGACCACCTCGAATCCCGATTCGCCAATCCGTACTTGTCGCCGTCACTTCCGTGTCGCGTCGCGTCTAGACACACGCACCGCATTCTCGCCAGTCCCACGTGCTTTCCTTTTTACCTTTTCTTGGCGAGAACCAACTATGACTCCCCCGATGACAGCAAGGACAGAAGTGACAGCAGTGACGCCAGTGAGCGCATTGACAGCTGCTCGGCTGAGCCATAGCTGTCCAAATCACGTGACTAATCATTCCGATCCTTCCAATACCGTCACGAAAACCGGTTAGCAAGACGCGATAACGACATTTTGTACGATCAATATAATTTGATGATACGGATCCTTCCTCCCCGGTCACCACGCCGCCTCGGTTTCGTCAACCGCAGTCGCGATTATCGTTCCTGAGTCCGAGGCCTTCCCAGAAAGTGAAGTGACTGCTGATTGTTCGTACCGATTCGTTTCGCGTCACGACCCTCTCGATGACGGGACGGCTCCTCGGGAATGCGTTTTTTCTTCGCGAACGCTGTCGCCCAGCGTCGCACGCGGCAAGCAGACGCGCGTCACATCGTGCCGATGATGCGACTGTTCGCGGTCGAATCGTGACTTTGGGCGATGGACCTAGGCCTTGAACTGGTCACACACAGGAGTCCCTAGTCCCACTAGCATGCTACGGACTGGTCTCATGTCTTGACCGTCAGGCAGTCACTATTCACTGGCATGCCGTGACATGGCACGTCATGGTATGGCATGGTATGGCATGGTATGGAGCTTGAGGAGGCTCCTTAGGAACGCGCTAACGTCAGTATCAAAGCGGCTTTCCCGCTTGATCAATGCATCGCGCATTTTCCTATAAGAAGGATGGCTGTTGGGGTAGTAATCACACTCCAACCTTCCCATTTCTCAGGCTTTCTAGTCTGAGTTTCTGCTCTCAATCATTATTCCTGCTCTCGGACTGCACTTCTGCTTTCTGCATCACTCTCGGTCGCTCCACCAGACTCTGCTGCTCCCAGCTCTTGTGTAATTTCAGCACTTGACGCCTCCTCCTAAACCACCACTCGTCGCCTTTCACACTTCCTCGCCTCGTTCACACCGCAAGGTCTCAAGGACCCAGTTTACGCACACTCGCTCCCAGACTCTCATTTTCCCTCTCGTTTCGTAGCTCTCTCTCCTCGCCATGGCCGGCCTGCTCGACATGGACACGCCTGTCGTGCTCACTAACGCTGCTCCTTCTAACGAGGACGCCAGCTCCGTCTCCGCCTTCGTCTCCAGCCTCAATGTTAACGAGACCAACTCTGGCCCCGCGGTGCCTGTGGGGGGAGATGCGTCAGGACTAGCGCATATCCTGGGCATTGGGACGGCCAACCCCGACAGGAAGGTCACCCAAGCGGAGTTTCATGAAAAGTTTGTCACGACGCTGCCGTTCCCGGATAAGAAGACCGAGGACTTGTCCAAGCGAATCAGTAAGTTGGAATTGGGGATTGGAGATCAAAGGATTCCAGCCTGTTTCTTTCTTGTTTGTCTCGTCCACAAAAAGGGCTTTTCAACACCTGAGTGTCAATTTTTTGTTACAAAGGTGTTTTTTGTTTATTTTTATTTTTGCTTTTTTTCTCGGGTGCCCTCCTTCCCTTTCCCAACCAGTTGAGAACTGTGGCATCAAGACGCGTCACCTGGTGCACGACAGCGACATCTTCAACACCTACAACTCCATCGCCGCCTTTGGCTCGCCCTCCCTCGACACGCGGCTCAAGCTCTGGCTCGAGCCCGCCGTCTCCCTGGGCAAGGCGGCCAGTGAGAGGGCCATCAGCGACTGGGGGGGAGATCGCAAGGACATCACGCATGTCATCACCTTCTCCACCTCCGGCATTCACTGCCCTGGTACACCTTTTTTGTTTGTTTGTTTGTTTGTTTTTTTTTTCCCTCCGTTTTCCCTTTGCTACTTCATGAAAATCATAATATTTTCCTAGGAGAACATTCCCATTCGTCTTCAATGTCTAGTGTACTCTCCCATTCCCTCTTTCGGATTACAAAGTTGCTTCGCAGCATATTCACTCCCCTTTCTTCTCCTTTCTATACCCCCACTTCGTTCGCCAATCAGGCCTGGACATGTGTCTGATCAAGCAGATGGGGCTCCCCCAGTCCACGAAGCACCTGTACGTGAGCTACATGGGGTGTCATGCGGGCGTCATTGGCCTCCGCACCGCCGCTGAGATCGCTGCGGGGGACCCGTCCCACCGCGTGCTGGTGGTGGCGGTGGAGGTCAACTCGGTCAACGCGCAGTCGCTCAACCCAGACAACCTCATCAACAACATCATCGTCGACTGCATCTTTGCTGACGGCGCTGGCGGTGAGTCTGACAGAAGTACCTTTGTCAGAAGTAACTTGTCACCTCTCCTGCCTCCCTTCACTCCCATCCCCTCCCTCCCTCCCTCCCTCCACTGTTTTTCTCCTTTGCTCTTTTTTTTTCGTGTCTCTCTCTTCCTTTAACCCTCAGCATTCATCCTGGGTGTGAAGCCAAGGGAGGGCGAGAAGGCGGTGTTTGAGGTGCACAGGCACGGCACCACATACATCCCGGACAGCGAGGACGTGACGTGATAACCAACAGCCCAACGCCCTTCCCTCTCCACACCCCCACTACCCTTTCTCCCCTCTCAGCATTCGTTCTGGGTGCCAAGCCGAGGGAGGGCGAGAAGGCGGTGTTTGAGGTGCACAGGCACGGCATCACATACATCCCCGACAGCGAAGACCAATAGCTTATCTCTCCTCTCTCGCCCCAACCCCCCTCTCAGCGTTCATCCTGGGTGCGAAGCCAAGGGAGGCGGAGAAGGCGGTGTTTGAGGTGCACAGGCACGGCACCACGTACATCCCGGACAGCGAGGATGTGATCACAGCCAACGTGGTGTGCCATGGGCTCGACGTGGGGCTCAAGAAGAACCTCCCCGAGGTAGGCCCTGCACTTTGAGGTAGGGCCTCAATCAACTCCGAAGCTCGCTCATTTTGTGCTTCTAGAATGGTTTGCGTGGTTTGCCTTCGCTGGTTCTAACAACCCATGCTCTAACACCCCACCCCATGCTCTAACACCCCATGCTCTGCCCACTGGTTCTTGATTTCCCCAACTCAGCTGGTGGGGAACAACGTGAACCCCTTTGTGCGCAGCCTGGTGGGCAACCTGAGCTACAGTGACATGCTGTGGGCCGTGCACCCGGGCGGCAAGTCCATTGTGGACATGACTCAGCGGGGGTGCGGGCTCAAGTCCAAGCAGGTCCAAGTCAGCAGGTGCGTGTGTTAGGAATTGTTTTTCAACACTCAGAGCTTTTGCATGAACTTTCTCATGGCTTACGCTGCGCCACCAAATGTTGGTGTGATGTGCCTTTTCAGGGATATTCTGCGGGAGTATGCGAACATGGCATCATGCACCATCATGTTTGTACTAGATAAAGTGCGACGTGATAACCGCCAAAAGGAGGGTGACAAGTGGACGCTGGCGCTGGCCTTTGGCCCTGGAGTGTCAGTGGAGGGTACACTCCTGCGACTGGTTGACCCTAGGACTGAGTAGTTTTGTGCAATCCTCAATTGTAAATATTGCCAGATTGCAGCCACAAAGCCACATTTGCACCAAAGTTCTCAAAACATTCAGAATTCAAACAATACCAAATACAAAGAACACTACATGAACAATGAGACAAGTGAAGGTGGTGTAACTGGAAAGGTACAGTATAGACCTGTAGTTGCTCTCTCTCTTGGGTTCCAGGGGAAAACATCTGGAAAACTCAGAACAAATAGCAGTGCACAATACCGTAGAACTCGTACGGTATGTTAATGATTAGCCATGGCACCTGTCTGCCGTTCTTTGTTACCTTATATAACGTTTAAGCAAGCACAATTTGGAATAGATTGGAAAGGGCAGACAACACACCACACCACAACACTAACAGAGAAAAGAACCAGTAACCACACCACAGTACTACTGATTGCTCAAAATGCCATTGGCGTTCTCTGGTGCACTCCACACCCTAAAGCAGAGCCCACACAACACTAAGACAAACAAGCTCAGAGCCAAGGGGAAGGAAGTCAGCTCTCAAGTGAGTTCAGCAGGTCAGGGGAGCCTGCAGTGCTGGCCAGGTCATAGGCAGTGTTGCCACTCATGTCCTCCAGATGGGGGTTCGCACCATGAGCCATGAGAAGCTGAAGGGTTCCCGGGAGGGAAGGATGGAAAGGAGGAGAATGGGGTAAAAGATTTGCTCACAATGGTGCTTCTTGACACAAATTGGCAACTAGAGATTTAGAGAAAGGCTTCTGTTTTTATTTATTTTTTTCTGAGTGTCAAACCTTGGGGCAACCAAAAGCTGGGTGAAGCTTTACCTTTGCAACAGCGACGCTGCTGTTGGCACATGCAACGTGCAGAGCAGTGCAGCCGGCATGGTCCTGCGCATTCACGTCTGCTCCTGCCGCCAGGAGCCGCTCCAAATACTGCACGTTGCTGCCACCGCTCTTGCTGCTGCTGGCCTCTGTAGCTGCGGATGCAGCGAGGCGGCAGAGGGTGGCCCCCGGGTCCTTGAGCAGGAGAGCAGCACCGGCTGCCCGCAGTGCCTCTGCTGCCTTGCTCTGACCGTTCTTCACTGCCTCGAGGACAGGGGTGGCGCCATTGCGATCTGCAGAGGATGGGAAGAGGGAGAGGGAGAGGGGGGCACAGAGGATGGATGTTCATGTCTCACTGCCACTGGGAGATGGATTGAAGCAATGCCATCTGAACAGTCATGGGAATAGGGATACAGCGATGTGCCTCATCGGCGAATGGAAGCGGCGATCCCTGAGCGACAGGCAGATGGCAGACACACTCCAGATGGGACCTCTTAGTTGAACACAGATTGGATTATAGAAGACTCACCAAAGAATGGCGTTCACTCACATCGACGCCGTTGCGTGTGAACATGGAAGTGACTATGTATGTGCGAGAGGAAGCTAATACACAGTAGGGGAACATTCTGTTTGTTGGAACACCCACCAAGTGCATTCACATCGACGCCATTGCGCTGCAGAATGGCGTTGATGCAGCTGACATGGCCATGGGCGGCTGCCACATGCTGCACTCACGAGAGACAGGAAAACCGGGCATTGACGAGGTTATGGAAGGTAATAGACTGAGTCACGCTGTGCGTAGGTTTGAAAGCCAATCCACCAAATTGTAAATCCGGAAGTTAGCTAAGTAGGAAACTCAGGCGTGGCGAGATAAAAGGTGGATGAAGCCTGAAAAAACATCGCAGCAGAAAGAATGAACTAGTCTATAGAAGGAGGACAACAGGGTAAACAAAAAAGGGTCTGGAGTTAGATTGGTAGTTGTGGTTGACTAACGATGGGAGTGAGTGAATACCAGGGGGTGCGGCCATTGTAGTCACTGCAGTGGGCGAGGGAAGGGGTAGCTGAGAGCAGCTCGTTCAACTGGTCCACATGGCCAGCAGAAGCAGCGGCGCACACACTGTGAGGGGGAGAAACGCAGGACAGGCAGGATACAAAGAGTACATGGGCATGCAACACTGCAATGTCCAAACAGTAAGCACCTGTGCCACACGGCCAGTGGCAGCGGCGGCGCACACGCTGTGAGGGAGATTTGCGATGTGAAGAGAAATCTGATGCTGCAGGCGCATGCTACAAGGAGCTACACAGAAGTGTGTAAGCAAAAAAAAAGCAGCTCCCATACGGCCAGAGGCAGCAGCAGCTCTTACCCCATTTATGGGAAAAGGTGACATGGACAGAAAACACTTCATGCGGTGCGAGAGACGATACATTTGCACACAGGGAGTGGAGGCAGAGGCATACATGATTGACCCGAATTAGGTCACGGTTCCAGACTTGTCCGCCAAACAAAAAATGTCCCTCAGTGACGTGTAAACACACCCGATCATTGGTCACCACACAAGTTTCCAGAAATATTGGAGCAAGGAAGCCAATCAAACGTGTACTTCCGTCTACACTTGTCCAGACTTTTATGGCGGGCGAACTTCAGAACCGTCATCATAGACTCCACAACCACCTGGCCCGCAGCCAAGCACACGCAACAGGTGGATAGGCCTTGGGGCGACCACGCACCTTTCAACCTGATCGGCGTTCCCACTGTCCACAGCTACAGACTCCAGTACCACCTGGCCAGCAGCCGCCTTGCCCTGAGCTGGCTCCTTTGGGGTGGCGCCGAGGGCCTTCCATGAGGGCTGTGAGCGGGCCAGGCCCTGTGACACTGCGATCTCCGAGGGCGTGCGCGTGAGAACACATACCTTTCAACCTGCTCAGTGTTCCCACTGTCCACGGGTACAGACTCCAGCACCACTGGACCAGCAGCCGCCTTGCCCTGAGCTGGCTCCTTGGGGGTGGCTCCGAGGGCCTTCCATGGCAGCTGTGAGCCGGCAAGACCCTGCAAGACTGCCAGCTCTGAGGGCGTGTGCGTGAGATGAGAATACGAACCTTCCAACCTGCTCGGCGTTCCCACTGTCCACAGCTACAGACTCCAGCACCACCGGGCCAGCAGCACCCTTGCCCTGAGCAGCCTCCTTTGGGGTGGCGCCGAGGGCCTTCCACGACGGCTGTGAGCGGGACAGGCCCTGTGACACTGCGATCTCTGAGGGCGTGCGGGTAATAACACGCACCTCTCAACCTGATCAGAGTTCCCACTGTCCACAGCTACCGACTCCAGCACCACCGGGGCAGCAGCACCCTTGCCCTGAGCTGGCTCCTTTGGGGTGGCGCCGAGGGCCTTCCATGAGGGCGGTGAGCGGGACAGGCCCTGTGACACTGCGATCTCCGAGGGCGTGCGCGTGAGAACATCTGGGCCATCGATTTTCTGCAAGAAGGAAGTGGGGAGGAAGAGTATCCATATAGGGGAGACAGAGCAAGAATGTGACAGTGACACGTGTTGTGACATAGCTCGGATTGGAGCATTATCCCATGAAGAGTGCGACGAAAAGAGGTGACTTTTGCGTCGACTCAAAAGCATTATCCCCATGAAGTGTAGCATGGAAACTGGTGTGCGACGAAAAGGGCCAGTCGATGCATATTAGACCCAGCCTATGAGACCCTAGCGAGTCTGGGCGGTTACCCGTCTGGGCGGTTACCCGTCTGGGCGGTTACCCGTCTGGGCGGTTACCTGCTTGAGGGCGGAGTAGAGGAGAGCAGAGTCGGCAGGTTAGGCTGTGGCGATGGTGGTGAAGGCGGACTTGGAGAGGCGCAGCAGCTGGCTGTGCTCCAACGCTCGCACTGTGAAGAGCTGCGGCATGTCGCACATCACTGCCGTCTTGCCGAAGACAGACCCGGCTGTCAGGAAGGAGGAGCACTGCAGGGTCGTGATGATAGCAGGGATGCAGCAACAAAGACAGGGAAAACAAACAAAGGGTCAAGTAGGTAGGTCCCCTTAGGAAGTGGAACAGCTGCGGCACGTCGCACATCACCGGTGTCTTGCCGAACACCGACCCCGCTGTCAGGAAGGAGGAGCACTACAGGGGGCGTCACGACAGCAATGACACAGCAACAGCAACAGCAACAGCAACAGCAACAGGGTAAACAAAGAGAGGGTCAAGAAGGTAGGTCCCCTTAGGAAGCGGAAGAGCTGCGGCACGTCGCACATCGCGACTGTCTTGCCAAACACTGTCCCCGCTGTCGGGAAGGAGGAGCACTGCAGGGGATGACACGCCAGCAGTGACAGCAACAACAGGGTAAGCAAGGAAACCAGCTCCCCTTACGGAAGAGAAGCAGTCGATAAGTGTCGATTTTGGTCACATTTCCAAGAAAACAAAACAGGCGATTGTCCGGGATGCATACATGGGGGTTGTCCGTCAAGCACAAGTAGGCTTAGACCTCAGAAGGAAAAAAAAAGGGTTCGAAAAAACGAGAAACCCACTCCGCTCTGCAGGTCCGTCCTCACGAACAAGCTTGCCAGAGAGCACAATGATGAGATGCGAGCACGAGTAGGTTAGGACCAAAAGATTTTAGGCAACCCACCCTGCTCTGGAGGACCACTGGCGCAGTTTTGAGATGCCTCAGAACTCACCCCGCTCTGAAGGGCTGCTGCAGGTCCGTCCTCACGAACGAGTTTGCCAGAGAGCACAATGTAGAGATGCGTTGACACATCGCCCTCCGATGTCACGATGTCATTGCGCATGACCGTTTCCACGTTCACCTCTGACACCTGGCGAGTTCAGCAGAACAGAACGAACAGGAAGAACAAGAAATATAGGAAAAACAGGAAGAACAGGAAGAACAGGAAGAACAGGAAGAAAAAGTTACAAGGCAGACACATACGGAATCCAAACCACGTCACCATGAGCACCCAATCTCCATATGTGGGGAGGAACAAGCACACGGCAGAACCACCCACCAGTTGCTTGAGGAAGGCCTTGGAGCAGAGGCGGAATCCGTCTAAGTTCTCGACGATGGGGAGATAGAGCTGGCGGGAGACGGTGACTCGCAGGTGGTGGGGGATGCTGGAGAGGAAGGAGGAGGCGTCGGACTTGTGCATCTGCAGCTGCACGCGCAGCTGCTGCTTCAGCTGCCGCTCCACGTCCGCCGGCAGGTTGGTGCGCGCGACGTAGGCCTTGAGAGCCGCCATGTCCTCGTGCTGTGAGAAAACGTTCACAAAATTACAGACAATACAAAACAATAACAACAAAACACTTTTGAGTCGACTCAAAAGTCAACAGGTTGGTGCGCGTGACGTAGGCCTTGAGCACCGCCATGTCCTCGTGCTGTGAGAACACGTTCACAAGAAGAAGAAGTCAGTGTGGCAGGCCACAGAAACGAACGAAGCGGAGGGCCAGCGGGTACGACAAGAATAATATAGCATCGTTGGATATGAGCATCAAGCAGATATGAGCATCAAGCAGATATGAGCATCAAGCAGATATGAGCATCAAGCAGATATGAGCATCAAGCAGGTATGAGCATCAAGCAGATATGAGCATCAAGCAGATATGAGCATCAAGCAGATATGAGCATCAAGCAGGTATGAGCATCAAGCAGATATGAGCATCAAGCAGATATGAGCATCAAGCAGGTATGAGCATCAAGCAGATATGAGCATCAAGCAGATATGAGCATCAAGCAGATATGAGCATCAAGCAGGTATGAGCATCAAGCGGATATGAGCATAGGATATGTTAAGGGGGCGAGGGACGGGGTAAGAGAAGGAGAGCTACGTACGTATTCCATGGTCTTGCTGGATTGCTTGACCAACAGCAGAGTCAACGTGCCCAGTGTGTACGCAAGCTGCTCGCACACGTGACAGAGAGAGGGGTAACGTAGAGGTCATTTTTTAGGCGTGTCGTGCCGGTTTCAATGCACACGGATTTTATATGGAGAATGACAACAGCAGAGTCAACGTGCCCAGTGTGTACGCAAGCTGCTCGCACACATAACAGACACAGAGGGGTAACCGAACACAGAAGGTCGTTCAACACCAGGCTGGGTTGGGAGCGAGGAGCTCTGTGCAAACCAGAGGCCTGTGCTGTGGTAATCAATGAATCGTCAAAGCAAGCAGACAAAACGGGAAATATCATGCATCAAACGAGAATGAAAAACTATGCATCAATGGCCATGGCGGAAGCATATGAACCTACAGTTGCCATGCCGAAGAGAGCGTACAAGCAGCTGAAAATCTGCTTGGCTGTGGTGACGGAAGTGACTTTTGAGTCGACTGAAAAGTTACCTCTTTTGAGTCGACGCAGAAGAATATGGACCTACAGTTGCCATGCCGAAGAGCGCGTAGAAGCAGCTGAAGATCTGCTCGGCTGTGGTGACGGAAGTGTAGGCGGGGCCGATGCTGGTGATGACGAAGATGGACCACCACAGCGCCGCCACGTATTGAAGAAATACGGACTGCTCAGAGTGGAAGGGAGGCGAGGTGGAGAAACAGAGAGCGAGGATAAAGAGGCGGCCAGGTCAAAACAGTTGGAAAAAGTCGGCCCGACCCGCGGCCCGGCCCGGCCCATGCGCTGTAGATGGAAGCGGGAGCAGGGTCCGGGGAAGCAAATCACACAGCCCGATTGAAGTCGGAACGCGTTGGGGGGAGATCGATCAATGTGTGACAAGGCAAGTACCTGGTCGGGCCTGTCCGGGCCGATGCCTTGGCCGATCCAGGTGTTTGCAGGGGTTAATTCAGAAGGTTACCTGGTCGGGCCAGTCTGGGCCGATGCCTTGGCCGATCCAGGTGTTTGCAGGGTCGGGCTCCATGAGGGTGAGGAAGAAGTAGGCCACGGCGAAGAGGTGCGACGCCAGGAGGATGTTCTGCTAGCGGTCATGGGGAACGGGTATATATGCATGCAGGAGAGGCAGGTTGAAGGAGGATGGGACCCCGATGATGTGCGCGCGACACCAGTTAAGAAAGGACGAGTGTGTGGATGGATGGGAAAGAGGCGACGGGATGAGTTTGCAAGGAAAACAGGGAAATAGTGGAGGATAGGGGGAGGAGAAAAGACGATATGGCAGCAAAATAATCCTTCATGGAACAACAATGCGAGCAACGAAAAGAAATTACTTCCAACTTCCATGCCACCCACCAGCACAAGTTTGGAAATGCGAATACTGAAATACACCGAGGGGCTGGCCATTCCAAGCCTGCACAGCAACATACGGAAATAACACAGATAAACTCGGAGTGGACGACTTCGAGATGGATCATGGCAGCATGACCATGGAATCCCGGCAGTTGCGAGCGTACAACAAGGAAGCAATTCTAAACTGCAGCATGGTCACTATACAATGAAAGTTGTCCATTCGCCGGATACTCACGCGGAGAGAGCACGGTAGAAATGGATGATACGATAGAGCCGCAGGCAAGGAAGGCCCCGGAAGACATAGCCAAGGGCTCCGGAAGAGGGCTGGCCGTTAGCCCAGAAAAAAAACATGTTGAGCGGAATGGACGACAATACGTCGAATAGAAGACCGCCTTTCGCGTATCTGCAACAACCGCGAGCGTTTGTCAGTTAAGTGGCGATGCGAGACACAAGGAACGGGGAAATATCATGGATGATGTTTCGGAAGAGTTAACCGAGTTTCAGTGGTAACCAATGCGTCGGCGATAAGGGAAGAGTCGAGGGTTTAGCGTAAAACACGGACATACAGTCAAGCGTACCGCATAGCGATCGCTTTTCTCGACGTCACGAGGCGAAGGGTTTTGCTGGAGCGGAAGGCCGCTTTGAATGTGACGCTGATATTGGCGATAAAGACGAGACACACGGCGCTGTCGAAGTAGAGAATCCCCGCGGAGGGGTTCGGAATGAAAGCGAACTCCAGGGTTACCCAGAACGACGACCACATGACGAGCGAGTGAATGAGCCTGTCATGAGAGAGGCGAGACGAGCGTCGAGTAGAATCCGAGAGTGGAGATGCAGTCAGGCGGAAAGCAAACGCATGATTACAGCAAGAGACAGGCTGAATAGATCATCTCAAGACGCTTCAAGTGTTGGAAATGCACAACGATACGGTATGAGATTTCAGTCTGCAACACGCGACACCAAAACACCTTGCATGAGTTTTCAAACGAAAATCCTCGCTCTCGAAGGAAATTCGACATACACGTTCCAAGCGTGAAAGCGAGGACCGTCCGGGTGAAGGAGGCCGAGCGCGTCGCAGGTATTCCGCTCCGCAGTGATCTTATCTGCGGCTTTCAGTTCCGACGTGCAAGCGCGCAAACGAGACATTTGCTCGTCGCTTTCTTTGCTGCCAAAACCCATCGTTACGTGACTTCAGCAAAACTGCTGAAGCTCCTCGCTATTTTACGCAATCCCTCTTTTCCCCTTAACTATCTCCGTAGAATGCTAGTGTGTTCCGTCAGAGCTTGTTGGCTGTCTGGGCTAGACTGAATTTACTACCTGGTTGACTCACGGCTAGTGGAAGGTTCACCTGCAAAACGACAAAAGGTCTGGCTAAGCCACACTTCTAAAATAAACGGGAATCTGAGCCACATTAACTGATTCACTTGCTCGAATTAGGGAGTCGTACGAACGACAATAAGGATGGTCATTTTACGCCGCTCTAACGAAGGTATGAGAAACTTTATCCAGGATGAGAGGGAGAGGGAGAACGATGAATCAGTCAGGATCCTACTGCTGCGCATCCGAGAGTTTCTAGCGAATGAGGCACAGGTTTTGTTCACGGAAACGTTGAAGTAATGTGTAAGCTTAGCATTTGTGCGCGAAAGTTGGGTCGAAGTTCACTGGATGGAAATTAGGTTCCGTGATCAGGAATGCCAAGCCTTCCAAAGTACCTCTGAGAGCTTTTATACATGTTTCTAAGAACAAATGGAAGTGGGTTTTAAGACAACTACACGCACAGGACCTCTCAAGGAACGAAGGGGTGGCTTTCCGAAATGCTATTGTGGAGAGCGAAAGAGCGAAACGCCCTTTGGAGGAGCTGTTGTGTGAGTATGTCTAAGACAACAAAACCTGCAGATCTACCTTTTCCAAGCACAGGTTGTACAAGAAAGCAGCGAGCAGGGAAGAACGGCGTTTCTAGTCGAGCCGCAAATGCTGCCAGCAGCAGCATTGGTGACGTGGCGACGACCTGGATGCTGCAGCCAATCACATCTCAAGGCTCGAATATTTAGGTTGACTTTCACATTATACAGTACAGTCAGGCACTCTCTGGTACAAGATTGACCCTATGTTACGTGTGAAATGGATATAACTAGCTAGGATTCCACTATATGAGCAAGAGATCAACAATGTGAGCTAAAGCATGAGCGAACATTGAGTAGCGAAAACATGCAAACGGTAATGCGGGCTTGCGAGCTAGCTAATCCACTGCTGGCAACAAGGTTCGGGCTAGTCCCGAAGCGTAGGCAGACTCAGCCGAGTACAACAGTCCAAGGTTTGGTAGTGACACGCGAAGTAGTGAACATTGTTAATCAGTAACGCGTTATGCCAAGGGTGGCGGAACACGCGGCGGGGGGGGGGGGGGGGGGGGGGAGAACAGAACGGATGAGCATACAGTGAATACCTGGAAGGGGAGATGCAGTGCGAGCACAAGAGGGGCGACGAACACATGTGTGGGGGTCAGGAGACGGGTTAGGAGGCAGAGAAGGAGACAACTGTCAACGAGAAGAAGGACAAGTTGGAGACAAGTCACGAGGATGACATGTGGGACAGTAGACTAGGGAAGACGGTGGGGGAGGAGAAGGTGGTCGGTCAGTCGAAGGGTAAGACAGGCCAAGAAGGCGAAGTGCAGACACATGCAGTGACGACGGCTGCTGCGGCGGCTGCCCCTGCGGCAACGGCTGCGGCCACTGCAGCACCGAATGTCAGTGAGATCCGAAACCAGCACCCCCCAGAGCCAGCACCCTCAGAACAGGCACTCATAGCGGTAGCATCCCCAGAACCCGCACTCCCAGCGGCAACACCCCTACAGTCCACAGCGACCGCTGTGGCAGCGACGACGGCTGCAGCGACGACGAAGGCTTTTGCGGTGGTTGCCAGGACGACGCCGGTGACAGAAAATACTGCGTCCGCGGCGAGGGCAGGGGCGGCGAAGGGGCCGACACAGGAGGCGCACCCCCACGTACCGGGCCCAAAAAATCGGCAGTCTCCCCCACATGCCAGACGAGGGAAGGCGGGT